ATACACTGCGTGAAATTTTCAATATCACTCCGTTCCTGGTATACACTACGTGATTGCATCACTCCGCTCCTGGTATATCACTCCGTTCCTGGTATACTAAATAAGTTGGGTGGCACCCATCGCACTAGTATTATATAATATAATAATATCGGTAGTCTATAATAATATCAACAGCCATAAAAAAAATATAGGCAGTTTTAGAGATGGACACCACGCGCATGGTGTGCATATAGTTAAGTTCGGTGTTTCTTGGTGGATCAGTTGATATTGTTGAGTTTGTTCTCATTTCTTTGACGAGCTAAATAAATGATGTCATCCAGATGTAATTCGCTTGTTGGCAAACTATTGGGATTTAGGATTTTGAATTTTGAATTTGAGATTTGGGACAATTTTTATTATATTTGGGATTTGGGAGGGATTTTAAGAATTTATAGTTTTGCCAACGTGTATAGATGTGATCCAACCATTCATATCAGCATAGTATGGTTAAAAAATGCGCATAGTGCCCATCTTAAATCACCCATAATTTAAACACCATGTATAGTCACAATAATGACTCTTCAAATTTTAGAAATTTAGTAATATTTTTCGTTTTTTTTTTTTTGCTATCTTTTTTTTTATTGCTTATTTAATTTTTATTTATTTATTTATTTTTGGGTAGCATTTAAGTTATTTTTGGAAGAGATTTTCTTTTTTGAAAATTAAAATTAGTTCAAGATAGATAAATCTTTTGTGTCCTTTATTACCGAATTGACAATTACAAACTTATTTGGCAGGAAATGTAATAAACCTGATTTCAAAGTGTAGAAAGGAGAAAAAATCACAAAGCAAGGAAAAATAAAATAAAATAGCGACTATGCGATCAAGCAATCAACAACACCAATTGGGGCATGGACTAGGAAAACCCCCATTCGACAGATAATTTGAGTTTTGAGAAAAATGCAATTGATATTTGTGCTACACGATTTTTGCCCTATTTATTTCTAGATTTAATTACATCACAAAAAATTTTGTGATTATTAATACGATATCGATATAGTACTGTACTAACATTAATTAGTTAATCACTTCAAATTTAATTTGATTGGACAATTTTTTATTTTGAATCTATTTTTAGAACATTGCATTTTTAAAGAAATGTTTTTTTAAATCGAAAAATCTTAATAATTTACTAATTTAATCTAGAATAAAAAGTGCAATTTATATAGCTAAGAACTAATACTTTGATTTGAATCAAAAATTTTAAAATCGGCCAAAAAGCGTCGAAGGGGGGTTTTCCTAGTCCATGCCCCAAATAGTTTTTAGGGAAAAGGTCGTATTTTAAGTAAAATTAAAGCGGAAAATTAATTTGTCTAAATATTTGTTGACTTATTGCGTTTTCCTTTAATTTAATGCAAATAAAAATCAGAAGGCTGAAAAATATGTGACTGCATCCTCGATTATTGGTGATGATGTCATAATAGAAATATGACTAAATCTTAGTATTAAATACGTCCAAATAAATAATTTAATTAGAAGCAAAAGATGAAGAGGAAGAAGGTGAATTATTAGGCAAAGAATATATGTTACTATAATTAACAGGCATGCTATGATTTAGCATAATACAGTTGGTATCAATATGTGAAAAGAAACCGTTTTGGAATTGTTGAAATCCTTTTTCATAATAGTTAAGATAAAAAGGAATTGCTCCTGTTCAAAATTTGCAGCTTCACCAAGGTTACTTTCAAAGACGTTGACTGATCTATTTGCTGCTTTTGGACCTCGTTTCTAACCGATTTAATGCAAGTACATTGAAGTTACAATGCGTGCAAATAGCTTCTTCAGAATATTTTACATGTTTTTTTCGACAATTAGTGCATGCAATCGCGTAAAGCCCTCGTTTTTGTCTACATGAATAAGACATGACTAGCAAAAGTATTTCATGAATAAAATAAACCAAACCCTAACAATTACAAAAAATTTATTTATTAAATTTTACTATTAAAATAACAATTTTGGTCAGTAGTGAATATTGTGTTGTAATTTTGTGACTTGTGACTGGTCTAATTTTTTTTTTTTTTTAATAGTTGAAGGACGATACAATATTGAGAATAATGATTTAGGTTAGTTTAGCTTTCTTTTTTTTTTTTTTTTTTGCAGTAGTTGAGAGGCAATATGAGATTAAGAATTATAGTAAATGACTAATTTTACTTTTTTTTTTTGTAATAGTTGAAGGGTGATATGAAATTGCGAGTGATAATTTAGGTTAGTATAGTGAGATGGCTTGTTGTAATTATATGGCTTGTTTAACTTTTTTTTTTTATAAATAGTTGAAGAGGAACAGCATGAAGTTGGAGAAAATATTCCTATAGGACCTATTCTTGGATCAGAGCTAGAAGGACTTGATCCTATTAAATATCCGTTGATAACTTCTTCTATAGAATTATCTGTTGGAATTCGATTTAGTTCTTGGGAAATTGCAAAATACTACTTAAAAGAGTATGGAAGGCAAAAGGGTTTTGCGATAAAGCGGTACAGAGTTGAATTCGATAAAAATCGTATAGTTAAAAAACGAACATTAACTTGTAAAAAGGCAGGCAAATATACACCTAATAAAACAAAACCCATCGGTCAACAACGTAATAAAGGCTCAAAGAGAACAGATTGTAAATGGCACGTTAATTTGAGTAGACCTGGATACACCAATTACGTGCATATAACTTTTGCTTTAGATGTTTCGATGAAAGTATAATGGCTGAAATAGAACACACAGTGGTGTATGGCCATTGTAACGCGCATACCATAAGAAACTTGCTTCAATCAAAATTTTCTAATCAATTATTTCTTACACAAGATTAGTCTAATGCAATTCAGAAGATTAAGCGTGATAAAAAGATTTCTGGGTCTGATGCTTCTTATTTGCTAAAATTTCTTCTTAACCAACAAAAAGAAGAATCTACGATGTTTGTGCAACCTCTAATTAATATAGATAGTAATCGGTTATGTGGCATATTTTGGATGATGCCAAACCAAATTTTGCTGTGGTCTCGTTATTTTGATGTTGTCTTGCATGACAATACCTCAAAAACAAATAAATACAATTATCTATTGTCATTATTTGTTCTTGTTGACAATGAAGGTAAATCACGTCTTGGTGCACAAGCTTTTTTAAATGATGAAATACAAGAAAGTTATGAGTGGGTATTGCAGCAAACACTGGATGCAACTGGTTCTGAGCCGCGTGTTTTCATTACTGACATGGATCCCGCAATGGACGCTGCATGTAAAAGCGTATACAAAAATTCATATCACATACATTGTATTTGGCATTTGGCACAAAATTTGCCAAAAAGACTAAAATCCAAACTTGGTCACGTGAAATTTAAAGAATTTATTAATGAATTTTGGAAAGCTCGAAATTCATTGAGTGTTAATATTTTTAAACAATGGTTTCAAGCTTTAAAAGACAAATACCCTAATGCACATGATTACTTGTTCAATTTTCTTTATTTAACTCAACAATTCTGGGCTTGTTTTTATGTAAATAGAATATTTACTGCAGGAATGCAGTCAATGCAACACGTTGAATCACTTAATACCCTTATTAATAAGGAAGTTTCTTCTAGCTCGAGTATAACTGATGCAATTAGGGCTATTGATTCTCGGATATAGAAAGAAGCCTTGAATGCGAGTTTTGTAACATGGAAATACAAATCATTAATATATCATCAGCTGTTTATTATAGAAAGACTTTTTAGTAACATTGAAGAGCTAATTCAAAAACATTTGTCATCTCAAATTATTGAAGAACTTAAAAATCAAATGTGTGAATCAGTTCTCTATCAATGCAAAAAAATAGAAGTAGATTCTGTTACTGAATTTAATGAGGATCAATTGGTACATATATATTTGAATTTGCTTCATGACTTAAGTCATCTAAAAATGAAATTTTTTTTGTTAGAAACAAATCATAAATCAGAAAGAACATAACGGCGAATCTAATGAAAGTCAAATGGTAAAATAATAGTAGAGCACATCACTCTGGTTATATTGACTTCTGGATGTAAGGCTATAACAATACTTTAAATTTTTGAACCTATATATTTAACATAAAAATGGAACTGGATATATTGAATGATTTCTTCATTTTGAAGTATCGATATAGCCAGAGTAATATATATTACTATGTGAGTTTAGAAACCTGGTTGTTATATATTAATTTATATTTTTTTAGAACATAGACCAAGACGTTGAGGCTATGAAGAGTATTATAACTTCTGACAAATATATTTAAAGGCCTTAATTAATTCAGTTCCAAAAGATACAATTAAAGAGGTTTGGTGAATTATTCCCTATATGGCACCAAACTCATATCAACATATTATTTTACTCAACGATAATACACATTTGCGTACATGTTTGCTTCTGGTTTCACGTGGAATTGTTTGTCGACATTACTTTAAGTTGATGGTAGAAAATCAAAGTGCGCTATTTCACGTGATGCTAATGCCAACTAGATGGCTTCAAAATGACTTATGGGAATGTTTGGATCTTGTTTCTAAAGAACCATTTATTGGATTATCATCTTTAAGTATCCAGGATAAAAATTTACAGCAAGTTATTCCTAAACATTTTAACAACATTCAATGAAAGTAAAGTTCAACATCGCGTACAAAGGAAATTAGAGTATGGTAGACTTATAGAGAATTTCAAGAAGGCTTTAAATTATTCGATAGAAGACAATAATCAAAAAAATCTGAATGAGCTTATTTTGACTTACATTGCAAAAAAGGAGAGAAAACGGGAAGCTGAAGCTCTATCAGTAATTATTGAGAATCCAGTACCAAATAATATTGTAAAACTAGCTGATGATCGCATATATAATGCAGATAATATTAAAGATCCAGTTGTACGTCAGGGTAAAAATAGACAAGCCACTAAGTGCTTAAAGGCTTTTACTGAAGAAAATAGTAAAGCAGCTACTAGCAATATGAAACACACTAATATTAGTAATGAAGAGAAAGGAGTTGAAGTAATAGGTTCATGTAAATGTCGTCTATGTCATGAAACAGGGCACTATGCTCCTAAGTGTCCCAATCGAGAAGATTAATGCAACCAATGTAATGATTGAAAAGAATTTTTTTTTTTTTTTTTTTTTTTTTTTTTTTTTTTTTTTTTTTTATCAGCACTTAAAAGCATTTAGACTAGCTATATGATGGGTATTTTTAACATGTAAATAGTAAAATAGAACTATATCTTTATGGTAAGGCAGATTATATATTCGTGTGTATATTTTGAAAGGAGGAATAAAGTCAAATAACAGTTGATGCACTATTTAGTGTTGCCAAATGAGGATCTTTTGGTTTCATTTAATATAGTTGAACCCTTATCATTTGGCATCACAAATGTGATTCTTTCTATAACAGTGTTGCCCAATGACCTATCGCTAAGTAACATTTTTTTGGTATAACCTTGGTCATATCATGACTTTTGATCATAAGTCATTAAATGTTAATATAATATTTTTTTACTATCACTATGATTCTTACTATATTAAAAAGGTCATAAATCATATTAACTTTTGTTACCGTATTACTGCGTAATAATGCGCAGGGGTGAAATTATAAATTTCGGCCCGAATTAAGCTTAATTCGGGCCGAACCTCAAAATAACGCCCATGAGCGTTATTACGCGAAAATACGGTATGACCAAAACCTATAACTAGTCATAAAGATCATATAAGTTCATCGGTCAATATTGTTCTATAACCAGTTGTAACACAAGTATATTAAAGTTTTTTAAATTTAAAGTAGCGTTATTACCGGGACACCCAAACGATGCAATAAATAATATCAGGCAAGGATAATAAGGCCCTAGTTTGGATAATTTTTTGAGTAACATCGCTAGTGCAATTACGTACTTACAATGTTGAAGAAGTGGAAACTAACAGGTCTAAACTAAAACTAACTAATCCAATTAAACTCAACACTAAAACTATCACGCAAGTGTTCAAAGATGGCTAAAACTGTTGGAAGGCAGAAAGAGGCAAGAACTTTCGGGTCTTGCTGCAGTGATACTGGAGAATACAATAAGTATAACTTTGGTTGTGCTTTTATTGGTTAGTCGGGAGCTTCAGTTTAAAACTAAAGGTAATCTTACTTCTCAAGTTTAGGTTCAATGAAATCTTAGTATTTGACTCAATTGTTAAGATCCTTAACGATTGTCACGTGTATCACGTGATTGAAAATAGAATGTACGTACGTATATGATAATGATCGACAAATATACAGTGTAACGTAATTTATATTAACAGTTAAGGGCGGCATATGATGTGATCGCCAAAATATACTGTGTAACCTGATTTATAATAGGGGCACCATATAATAATTTGTAGCCCCCCGCATCAAATAAATTTACTCTACAAAGAAAACTAGTTGGACTGAATTCTTTTTAAATTGGCCAATCATATTGAAGCTTATATGGGGGGAGGGAGAGCCCTCATAGTAAATGGAAATTACGTAATTAATGTCAGCGCCCTAACTATTACCAGAATCTTAACTACTTTTGAATAATAAGTGAATTAAACCATATACAAAGAAATCTAAATTCTAAATTCAAGAAAGAAGATGAACCATACATAGAAAAGAAAGTAGAAGAGTGGGAAAAAGAATCTAGACAGGAATATTATAACAATCACATAAAAAGAATATATCAAAAAAAAACAGAAATTGACATAAAAGAAGAATTTTATAAGTACGAAAAATTAGTACAAATACAAACTTGAAAAGAACTATATAAACACTATGCAAAACACTGAAAACCAAAATGGAGAGAGTTCGAAACCAAATTACAACATATTCGAGGAACTTTGAAACCAAAAGAACCTACAACAAGAATGTACTAACAACTTGGATATATCACAAATAAATCTAGAGATAATGGCATACCTGAACAGACTATTAGTTTTACACGACTCTCTGAACTTATCTAGAAGAATAATGACCCAAGCAATATCATTTATAATTATAAATAATGAAATATACATTTTATTAGGACAAAGGCTAAACATTTTTTGGAACACTAAATAGAATGGGTGGAAAAGGAAAACTTGATGACTATGGAAACTTATTAGAAACAATAGAAGCTACAGCCCATAGAGAAATATTCAAAGAAGCACAATTAGTAGTAAAAAATGAAAAGTTAATAAAAATTCAAGAAAACTCATATTATTCAGACCTAGAATGGATAGCTATGGAATGTCCACCAGAAAAAACAAAATACTTAATAACACTAGGATTATTTATATTTCAACTAGAAAAAGAAACACCAAAGAATACAAAACCTGACACACTAGGACCTTGGCAATTATACTCACTAAACAAATTGAAGAACAACAGTTACCTTTAATACCAATGATTCAACATAACCTACACTATATATTTCACTGAATCAGAGATTACCCAATACTATATATAGCCAATAGAATGAATTTCACACAGCAAATTAAAGTAATAACCAACCAAAGAAAAATATATCTTAACATATTTGAAGAAGTAGACTCAGAATATGAAAAAGAAGAACATACTAAAATAACCAAACAAGAACTAGAAGAATTAATGAAAGACAAAGATAATATCACTGCAAGACAAATTCGAAGAGCAACGAAGCTTAAACAAAAAGTTCAAAAGAAAATTGCACCATTGAAACTCACAAAAAAACGAGTCAATAACCTAGAACATATACTCAAAGGATACAAATACTTATCAATATTTGAAAAAGAAGACTGACCAGAAGTTATCACAATCATGGAACGATACTCTAGAGTAATCGACCTAAAGAAATTACTGGATAAGATACTAAACAAAATAAAACAACAATTACATTATTTTATATTGTCTTATAACGAAAATGGCGAAGCGTATAGAATCAAAATACGACAAACAACAAATTATCAAGTTACACTTTGTAACGTTGAACTATTTATTAACGAATATGAAAATCTAACTTTAATTTAGAAATTACCGGCAACACAAATCCGGCCACCTAATTGTTAACTATAGCCGATTTTGCAAATGCACATCATTAAAAATGCCACAGGAAACCATATACTTCATGATATTGCATATCACTCCGTTCATGGTATTGCTAATGAAATTGATTGTGATGACATTCTTGATCATAACTTGCTTATTGATATATTAGTATTAACGTTTTGATCACGTT